TTGGGCAGACTCGATCGGATGTGAGCAGGTGATGTTTGCGCGCCAACGAAAAACTATAAGGGAACACACGGGAACAGAATCCAAGCGAAGGGAAGTATAGCGGCCCTTGTAGAGAATGTTTTCGCATAGGCCATCTTCTGGTTCACGTTCCTTTCTGAAGCAGGTAAGGATCTCATTGGACGGGTTCTGAGGTATGACTAGCCCAAAAGCCCATCTCGTTGCATGAAAGGGGATGGAAGGCCTCCCCAATAAAACCCATCCCTTGTAATTGTTTCAATCGAGATCCCTCAACAGAGACCGGAGATCATTCAACTGCTAAGTTTCGTTTAGGGGAGATGTGCTTCATTTCCAACGCGAGGAGCCGTTTTTTCTGGCTGAGGTCGGGGCTCTCGCTGGTGCTGGGCATGATGGACGCGGGCTCAGAAAGTGTTTTGGCCGGAGCGCCCCAAACCCTTGAAAGGCCACGGAAGGTCGGTGGTTCTCCTGGTTAGGTTTGGGGTTGGGGGTTGGGGGTTGGGGTTGGGGGTTGGGGGTTGGGGGTTGGGGGGGGGGGGTTTGGGGGTTGGGGGTTTGGGGTGGGGGGTTGGGGGTTTGGGGTGGGGGGTTGGGGGTTTGGGGTGGGGGGTTGGGGGTGGGGGGTTGGGGGTGGGGGGTTGGGGGTGGGGGGTTGGGGGTGGGGGGTTGGGGGTGGGGGGTTGGGGGTGGGGGGTTGAGGGGTTATAGTAATGGCTACATGGGTGCGCCAGTTTTTGAGGGAAGCCTTCTTTTTTAATAATTGGCTCTTGAAGGGAAGCGAAAAGGCAAACCTAGAACCAACAGATGGGTTTTAGTCGCTGCTCAGTTGTTAAGCGGCAACCTTTTTCTCGTTTTGTTTTGGTAAGTTCGGTCTCAAGATTTCCTGATTTGGCAGTGGGCCTCCCAAATGAGCCAAGCTCAAACCCCGGGTAGATGAAGGCTCCAATCCCAGCCATGGGTGCCTTCGCCGCCTTGTTAGCTCTTTACATGGTGGTCACCAGCAAAAACCGCAGGTTTGAGTCATGTGTTCCATTTACCAGGGTTCCATTTTAGGTACCGATTTTTGACCCACACCCATGAAGGTCCCTGACTTGACGTATGAGTTGATCCAAAACGAAACGTAGCCTGGACACCAAGTTGAGTGCTTGGATCCCCGAAATGGGTTCGCAACGGAGTTCCTTTTGGTTTTTCTTCTAAAAGCACGAAGCAGGGGGGGTGCCAACTCCAAGCAAAAGACACGCCACCCAGTTAGTCTCTTTTGCCTTTTGGTTTTCCTTCAAAACTACCAAGACTCTCGAGCCCCAAGAAGTGTAGGAAGTTCCTTGATTTCCTCACATAGAGCGAAGTTCCTTTGCTTCTTCAAAGGGAATCGCTCAAAAGGCGGAATTGCTCTTAGCTGCAAGGATGGCCATGTGTTCCTCCGGAGCGTCCTCTCCGGAGAAAGCCTGAGGCGAATCGCGAGAGAGGTATGACAGGTGTAGTGTTTTGTTTGAGGGTAACCCTTTTTTGGTGTTGGTTCAAAAGAGACCAAAAAGGAAACCATTTTTTGGTGGGGGCCATTTTTTGACACATGCCTATTTGTTCTTGGATGCAGTCGTCGAACCCCGAGGTGGATTTTGTTCCCCAAAAATCACTGCTGTACGTACTGGGTCTCTGGCTTTTTACAAATGAATCGACATGCCCAATGAATCCATTTCACTTGCCCACAAAATTCGGGGGACCCGGACGAGCCCCAATTCTCCCACCAAACAAATCACAGACCCATCTCCGCTGTCTCGCTTGGCTTTGACCAGCCCGCACGAGGCTCAAGTTCACACATAGTCGGCTTCGTGTGATGATGAACATAGGGGGAGGCATTGGGGAGCTCTGGGTTTCCACGTTCCGGGGAATCCGATGGTGAAGTTTTCATGGGGAGCCCTAGCTTGGTATCCTAGAACCGAGCCTCTTCCTTCCGTCAGACTGTCCCCAAACGTCCAACCCAAAATGTCAGGTTTGGCAAAGACGGATTCCTCTTGTCATAAACGTGCGGGAGTGTCGACCTTTTTTGGGGGGCCTTTTTTGGTGTTTGAAGGAAACCCACAAGAACACCTGCCATTGTTTGTTTGGGGCACAACCTATAAGCCCACACTGAAAATGCTACGATGTTTGGCAGGGCCTTGGAGACAAAACGAGCTTACCATGCATGCTGTCCGTCCTTCACTTTTGAATCCCTAATTTCAGGAGTTTCTGTGTGTTTTTGTGTGTTTTGGAAACCCTGGCAACACTCGGGCTTGAATATAGCTGGCTACTGGCATGCAGGGTCGGCGAGTTGATCAATGTTCCTAGCCCCCAAACGAGCATGCGTAACTTTGCCCATTTAATGGGTAACATATCATCTTTTTTGTGGTTTTCCAACCAATGGTCATCCCCATGTTTACTTCCATTTGCTTAAGATTTTGTTTTTGCCCCGTTGGTGTTAATAATAATCTATCACTATTGGACATGTTTGTAACTTTTCCAGGGGGCTTAAGCAAATGGAAATTTATCGGACCTTTTGGCTCCACCCCCATTTGTTGACACAAGGGCCCACCAAAACCTCTCAGCGGCGCCCTGCGGCAGGAACTTCCGGGCGCACCATGCGCCGGTCGCCGCAGTGGTGCAACCGGCATGTGGGTGGCTCGTCGTTTTTTTGGGAGACCCACGAAATGGTGGTTGTCCCTTGGGTTTCTCTTTAAAAGCCACCGAAGCAGGGCTCAGTCAAAATGTCTCCTTTGGGTTTCCCTTTTGAACCAATGAAACAGGTTGGTGCAAACTCAAAAAGAACAACCATGACCGTCAAACTTCTAGACTTGTTCATGGACCATTTCCCCACAAGATCCTGGGGACCGGCTCTGATTCGTTCATTTCTGGGGGTAGCAACGGTAGCGCTTTTTCGATGCTTCCAGAGTTGCTTTAGGAACTTTGAGGCGCAAGGAACGAAGCAAGTTCCACAAGATCAGTAGTCAGATTTCACACTTTTTTTTTGTTCCCTTTGTTCCAAATGGTTTCCTCCTTCTTCCTTTTGCCGGAGCCCGCAACACAGCGCACACCCGTTCAGCAGTTCATAGCAGGTTGTGCATGAATATCGCCCCCCATATAAATCAACCCCAGTTTAGTTGCTAGGGGCCCTACGAAAGCGGTCTGATTCCCCACGAAACGCAGAGATGGACACCCCCCTACTAATAAACAGGTTTCCCACCCGCAAACGTGTTTTCCGACCCCCATTCTGCCTTTTGGTTTGTGGGTCCAAAGAGTCAGGTGGGGGGTCAAAAGAAACCGTTTCCCCCAGGGTGGCGCATGTTCCGATGGTGCAGACAAAACCTCTTTCTTTTGCAGATGTTCAGAAAAAAGAAGAAAAGCAACGTGTTTCTGTCTATGGTTTGCTTGTTCATTAAAAAAAAAAACAAGAAAAACAACACAACAGTCTATAAGCTTCTCAAAGCGCGTTCTTCCAGACACTCCCCGTGGCACCCACTCGGATCAGCCCGGCCGCCAGGCCTGCTCCGGCAACGGCAAGCTGCTGGCGACGGGATCCCTGGACAGGACCGGTTGGGACCGCCGAACCGCCGGAAAGAGGCGGCCGGAGGTCGGACGTCGGGTGATGGCTGTAAAGCAACCTATGCCCTGAATTTCAGGCAAATGGGTGTGGCTCAAAATTAAACAGCTGGGGCTGCGCAGGTTTTGGTCCATGTTTCCACCTACTTGGATGGTCTTGGACGAATCGCTAAATGGTTAGTAACCCTGGTAGGGGACTTACAACCATGCTAAGTGGGTTACAAGGCTTACTAACCACTTGGCTTTCCAAACCATCCAAGTACGCCCTGGGGTTCAGGCAAATGAGTGCACCCAACCACGGACTCTTGGTCTGAAACCCGAGGTGGTGGTACAGGTTTATCTCTTTTCATCCCATGACCCTGGGGTTCACACCAGAGATGAGGTGTTGGCTCACGGCCTACCTTGGCTCTTCGAAGTCTGCAGATATACATGTTACATGAACCCGAAGGCTCGCCCAAAAGGGGATTCCTCTAGACATACTGTGGATGGACCAAATTTTGCACCAAATTGAAACCAAGGGGAACCGTGGTTTGTTGGAATTTACAGGGGAATCGAATGAGAAACTAGGGTTTCTGAACGGTGGTGCGAAATGGATTTCGCAACCATCCACAGTAGATCCGTGTCTAGGGTCTTGGAGTCTTGGCGGCCCGAGGCATCTCCGGCTTGCGGCATCGGCTCAAGTCTCGCAGCAGCCGGGCGGTGTGAACGCTGCAGCTAGTTACCTTCCCAAAATTTGGTGACCAACTTGTGGCCATACTGTGGATGGTTGCGAAATCCATTTCGCACCACCCATGGATCTTATTCCTTGTACCAGGGCCATCTATTTTTTCAAAAGGCCACCCTTGCGTGTGGCTCATTTGAACCATGATTCCGCCATCACATCCCGAATGGCAGACATTAGACATGTGTGGCAGCTCGGCCGTTCCACATCGCATTCCGTCCCCAAGACATGTGCCCTTTACCCTTATGTGCCCCACATACAGGTCGGTAGTTACCCTCATTGGAAAGGGGGAACGTATTGACTGGGGCACACGTCCCTTGACTCATATTTGGCGTCCTTGGGGTTCTCCCGGCTCCCCACAATCCAAGCAGTAGCCAGTTAGAACCCCAAGTGACCCTAGCTGGGTTGCTCCCTATGAATCAACCAGTTGTTGTTTTTCAGCAACTGAGATTTCCATGACCGCCTCATGTCAACAATCTCGTGGATTCTAGAGCACATGCTCATATTCAATAGTATTAACCGGGGTAACTATGCTGCATTTTGAGACCCAAAAGCCACGTTGTACCTTACGACTCACCTAAATTAGAGACCCCTTCACTTCAGGTGGTTGGTTTCCTTTTGGTTTCCTGTTGACAGTATCCAAAAAGGGGGCCCCCTATTTTGAGAAGCCCCCAACCATCGCGACGTAGACCCCTGGGCCCTTCGGGTGTTTTCCGCCTCGGAAGCCGCCGATGGCGAAGCACGTGATCCGCTGCCCGGACGACCTGCAGAAAGTGGCGGCCAAAGCGCCGAATGCGCAGGTGGTGATCCCCGAGCTGGCGGATGAGGAGAGCGAGGGGCCGAATTGGGGTCCAGTTGGCAGGGCTCCTTAAAAGATACACATTTTGCAACCAGTTGAGTTACATGATGCTTTTTCAACACACAAATAAAGGGAAACCACCATTTTCAAGGCAATGTTCAGGTGTATAATGTAAGGATCCCTGGTTGGGTTCTGTGCGAACCAGAAAACGGAGCTGTTACTTTCAATGTGCTAAAGCCGAATTTGCCTGGTTCTCTTCAAGGAATGAATTGAACATGGGGATATCAAAAGCCTTTATTTGAGGAGACCAGCGAGGGGCCGATCAACTTTTGAGGGGGTCACTACGCCAGTGACTATCTAAGATGGTGTCCACTACCCCCGGGGTTTAATGGGATATAGCCACCATGTACAAAGAGTATACATATATGTTGTGGTATTCCTCCTCTTGATCCTTTTTTCTGGTCAGAAACTAAATCTATTTCACAAGTGAATTTGAACATAAGCTTGGTACAGTTTAAGAGCGAGGTTATGTAAAGTGTCATAGTACACAGAGTCCAGACCATAATATGTCATACATGCATCTCTGAAGTGTTCAATTCTGTCAGTCCAAAAACGCACCTGCTTTCAACTAGAAATCGTGATGTCCTCCAATGCAAACATGTTTCCGCATGAAGTTTGTTTTTTCAGAGTGTTCATCACTAGTGTTATCCTCGCTCGATTGACTGTAAAGCATCTCTGTGAGACCGGCGCAAGGGTATCAACAAAAGAGCAAACAATACCTCTTCTGCTCCGCCTAACGCATCTTTGATTTCTCACCTCGACTGATGTGCAAATCCTCGTTTGTCAACTTACAAACCAGTGACAATACCAAAACACGTGCTACGCATCTTCCATATCTCATCTCAACTCATCTGCAGATCCTCTGTCAGCACACAAACCTTGGCCAATACCAAAGCATTTGTTCACATCCTATATGCCTTGACCGATGCCGCGCTGTCTGGTAAAACAACTAATTCCCTGAACGAAATCTGTTCTGCACGAGACCTGCTACGAAGCACGCAAAGCACTGGTATTTATAGTGTGTTTTTAATTTCCATTAGTTAGCGTGGATTTCTTTAAGTCGTTGTTTGACGAACTCATTCTCCAATGTCCATATGCTGAACTTTCAACAGTATTTACCGCGCACAAGCCCAACAGGAAAATAAGGCGCACACCCAAATAGCAATGAAAGCAGACGCTTTAAAGCGCTTTTGGATCCACGATTCGAGATTCAAGATTCCCAAGGCTCTAGATCTTGAATCTTGAATCCAGTATGGGGCCCACAAAATACTTTAAAGCGCTTTCATCCAGGAAGCTTATGGATTCAAGATTCAAGATCTGAAGTGCTGGAAGTCTTGAATCTTCAACCTTAGATCCAAAAGCGCTTTAAAGCTCTTTAAAGCGCTAAAGCTTTTTAAAGCGCTTTGGCGGCCCCATACTGGATTCAAGTTTCAAGATCTAGAGTCCTGGGAATCTTGCATCTTGAATCTTAGATCCTTGAATCTTGGATCCAAAGGCGCCTTAAAGCGCTTTAAAGCTTTTCTAGCCGCATACAGTCGAGGTCAAATGTGCAAATGTGGGGATGGTTAAAGGCTCAAATGTTGGGTGCCTGAAAAGGGGTGAAAATCACCCAAAAGTACTGCAAATACCGCCAAATTCTCGTTGGGTGTGTTTTCTCTTTTTCTTTTCTTTTCTTCTTTTTTTTTTGGGTGGGGGGGAGGGGGTTACTATATATATATATACATATATACATATATACACACACACACCATTTTTTTATTATTCTTTTTTTGGGGGGTACTATATATATATATAGAGCATTAAACCCTTCTGGGGGTAGTGGTTTGGGGGTAGTGGAACCCATCTTAGAGGGGGGGGGTCTGGGGCTCACTGGATTTCCACGAGTCAAGCGTTGATCTTTCCACTGAAACGATCGGATTCCACTTTTGGAGGTTCCCTGAGGGAAATGGCTCGGAACCCGCAGATGCAATCGGGTGGTTTGTGGGGTTTGAACCCCTGGTTCTTGTAGAGGAATGAGAAACCACCGTCACCAAATCACCAATTAGAGGGAAGCTGATCTTCTTCTTGTTTATGGTAGACTGAGTATGAAGCCGAGTCAAAAGTCATGGTTTTTTTTGGTCCGAACAAGTTTCCTCATAAATGAAAGCTGCAACCAGTGGCTCGGTCCTTCCTTGTGAAGCCTCAAGCGCAACTCCAAAAGTTCGTGCCTTTTTGTGTGGTTTTCCATCAGTTTGCACCCCCTTGGACGGCTGCCATCATGGAACTGCAAACGGGAAATGAAACAGATTCTGTCTCAGGATCAAACACCTGAAACGGATGGCATCCTTTCCTTCGGATTTTGTTTCCCTCCCGCGCGAATGTCCGGCGCAAGAGGTTTTTTTTCCCTCCGGGGCCTTTGACAGATTTTTTGGGGAGTTTGATCCCCTCGACTCAAAATGGCCAGTTGGTTTCCCTCCACAGGGAACCGGTTCTGAAAGGGTTCTTTTCGGAGGATCTGGGAGTTTCTGGGAGCCTCCGGGCCTGGGAGACTCTCGAGCGGAGAGAGTAACCCCTACTAAAATAGACCAAAAAAGATAAGAAACGGTACCAACTTATTCGAACCTTTGTGGAGGAGAACTTGTGGCCATAGGTGTCCTTTTTAGGTTACTTTGGTCCGAATAGATGGCACTGGTTTGGATTTGATTCCATCTGGTGGACCCAGCGCTTTGCAGGAAAGCCCGGAGGGCTGGCAGATCTTGGGACAGACGCCTCATCGGGTGGAGGCCTCCGTTCAGGAGATGCTGTCCAAGGCGAAGGGCGGAAGCGGAGGTGACCCGCTGGGGCCCTTTTGGTGTCCGTCTTGGTTGAAAGTCTATGGGTTACACTGGTTTAGACAGGCTTTATGCCATCCATTTACCAGGCCCGCGTATTTTTTTTTCTTTTCCCATGGCCACCTAGGTTTTGGGTTTGGTTTAAAGGGACAACCAACAGACAACGCCCCATTTCGGGGGTACTATGCCTTTGTTGAGACACCCTTTTTGGTGTTCCAAGTTTGGTCCACAAAGACACCCTACCTCTGCTTGTTGTTGGGAAACATTTTACATTTTGCTTATGTTGTGGTTTAGTGGTTGAAATCCAACCACTGAACTGCTAAAAATTAAGAATTGTTTGCTCCCCTTCCAACGTCAACCAAGACCTGCTGGGTTTTCATTTGATCACCGTTTTGTTTCTAGGTATCTCACTTCCTCGGAAGAAAGGCCAAGCTTGTAGACCAACTCGAGCTCACCGCTCACCGCTTCGGTGACGGTGGTGTTTTGCCCCAAGGTTGCGAACTGCTGGGGATCCCTTATGCCCAGCTTGCGAAACTTGCAAAAGTCGCGAGCAAAAATTCGTACCTGTTTGAAAGAGGAAGCTTCCAGGGGAGGATTCGGTTGGTGATTATTTGCCAGGGAAGCTTCAAGGGGATGTTGTGGGTATGCCATATCTGGACCTGGCGTTTCGATCCCAGGTGCGTGGCGTGGAGTTGATCCAGCCTCCAACCCCTCCTCCCCTAGTTCCCTCCAAATCAAAGTCACACAGGGGGGGCGTATGGTGACACGTGGCGTCTATTTTGCAACCTCCTTCTTTTGGGGTATTGCTTTTTTAGGGTCTTGGTTGCCCAACATACACCCTAGGTGTCCATGGCACGGGGTGGGCGGCGGGACGGGTTGGCTGGGAGGCCGGGGCTTCGAGTGGCGCCGTGCAGGCGCTCCACGACCTTCAGCACGAGATCCCAGAGCAGGTCCGAGACCTGCCACAGGTGAAGGAGCAGGTCTCCAAGTTGCAGGAGCTCCTCAGCTGCTCCAAGGAGGGGCCCGCGTCTTTTTGTTCGCTTCTTTCCTTTTTTGTCGAGCATGGTCAACGTGTGGGGAAATAGTTCCATCCCTGGAGGTCTTTTTTGTTTTTCTTTCCCCGTTGTGGTTGGGAAGGCTGGACAAAGTGTTGGATCCGGAGAGTGGGAATTTAGACCCGGACTTCTCCAAGTATGGATCATTTGTCCTTTTGTTGCTATGTGCGCTGCACCGCGCTGTTTGTTCCTGAGCCACGAACGTGCCCGCAAATTACGGGTTCACACTCCCCCTGGATGTCTACATCCACCTCGCGGTTGGCACTATTGGCCCCGCTACTCTGGGCTGCGGACGCCCAAAAGGCTATTATGCCATCACTTCTTGTCCGCGCCCTTCTCCTGCTCCAAACTGGATGCTGCGCCACTCAAAACTATTGGTCCAGCTGTCGCTGCCCGATCTCGGCACCAACCTCGCTGACGCCCCTCCGCCGCCCCATGATCGTGCCGTAGATCACCTTCATCTCCTTGCCCATACCCCGCCTTTCCTTCTTCTTTTCCTTGACCAGCTCCCCCAGGCCTAGGGTTCCATCCTCCTTCGTGCCATAGCGCTCCTTGAAGTCCATGCAGAGGAACTCCCCGATTCCTCGCCTCCAAGAAGGCCCATCTGTCCTCCGAGAGCTGCTCCATCCTCCGATAGTGCTCCATGCGCTCCGTGCCCAAGACTGACCTCGGCGCCCTCACCGGTTGCTTGCCCCCGGCACCATCACGCACATGGCACACTACCACCAAGTCTTGCTCCTGGGACTTTGCCCCGGATCTACATGACCTATTCGGTCGGGGTGCCTGCTTAGGCAAGGGTGCACCCGTCCCGGGCCAAATCCCATCGTCTGTCCCGTCATTGTCTGTCCCGTCCTCCCACGGTCCCTGGTCTCTTGGACTGCCGGTAGTCCTCCCCCCCAGGAAACCCTGTCCGGACCCTTCAAATTCAGTCCCCCCTGCGGTGCCGCTTGCCGCCGTCTCTTTCGGTGGGCCCTGAGCCTCTTTTTGCGGTCCTTTCGTTTCTTGACTGGGTTCTTCAACCGGTCCTTTTACTTTCTTCACCTTTGTCCCACAAGCCTTCTTGGTGATCTCCCAAACCACCACCGCCAGAACCGCCACCACCGTGAGGATCAACTCCACCGGGATCGACTCCTCATCGATGTTCACCACATCCTCTGCCATTGCCCCTGCCGCCAGGCTGAGCATGCCGATCACCGCCTTCAGCTTGTCAACCACCAACCATCCTGCCGCTCCGAACATGCCGTTGGACTTGCTCCGCAGCACCTTCTTCACCTTCCTCTCCTCCAGAGTATCCAGGCCCATTCCTCTCCTGCATTTTTCAAACTGGGTCCTGGTCAACGCCTTCGTAAGGCCATCCGCCGCCAAAAGAGTTCCCGGAAGGTGCCTCAAGCGCCAGTCCTCTTCCTCAATGAGCTCCGTCAGCTTCCCTGCCCGGCACTTCAGATGCCTTGACCTCCACGCGCACGCTGGCGTCGTAATGATGCTGATGGCTGCCGCATTGTCTCCCAAGATCATCTTCCGAACCTTCTTCACCTCCAACATCTCCACCAACGATGACACCGCCTCTCCGATAGCCGTGGCCTGCACATAGCCCGTGAGCTCCGCCTCTGCCGTGGACATCGTGGTGTACGCCTGCCTTGTGGACTCCCACGCAATGATGCCTCCTCCATACATCACCATTACTCCCTGAATGGACCGTCCACCTCCTGGTGCAAAACTCACGTCCGCCTGAATTTCCAGCGTTCCCATCTCCTGGGCCCCCGGGAATTCGGCTTCCCCTTCTCTCGGCTTCATTTCCTTCTTGTAGATGATGCCGACCTCGTCCGTCTCCTTCAAATAGCCCAGGATCTGCTTCGCCGCCCGCAACGCCTGCTTCGGATTCCGCGCCACCATCCTGGACGCTTGACCCACTGCGAACGCCACATCCGGCCTCGTTCGGGTCGAGACCCACAACAGCTCCCCTAGAGCTACCTGCGCCTCCCGAACTTCATCCGCAGTCCAGTCCTATCTCCTTCTTCCTCCTCGGACAACTCCACCTTCGCCGCCGGCACATCAAAGCTCTTCACCTCGGGGTATCTTCCCACCAGGTCCCGGATATACGCCGATTGCCCCAGCCAGAATCCCCCTTCCTTCTCGCAGATCTCCATTCCGCAGAACGTAACCGGAGTGCTCCCTTCCACCACCTCCGGGGCAGATGTCTTCCACTCCTGCTGCAGTCTCTGCATGAAGCCCTTCATGACGTCCTCCTTGGCCGCCACCAACATATCGTCCACATACACCACGATGTTCCCCACCGTGGCCCCGGACTCCACCTCCCTGATTGCCCACAGGTTTCCCTCCAGCGGGTGTATCTTGAACTCCACATCATTGACCCGCCACCCAAAACTTGCCATAGTCTTGTCCCTGTGGCAACCCCAGTCCTTTGGGCTTGTGTTCAGCCCATACAGCGCCTTCAAGACCAACCACCGCTCTCCTTCCTTAGTGACCCCAGCCTGCCCAAAGATCTTGGGAGGGGTAACCACCAGCAGCTTCTGCCTCTGATTAGGCGCTTGCAAGAACGCAGTCTTCACGTCCACCGTTCCCACCTTCCACTGCTCGAAGGCCGCCTTGCGGAGAGTAGCCCGCAATGCTATACTGTCCGCCCCTCCCGCGAACACCTCCTCTTTGGTTTCCTTACCCGACAATTGATTCCCGCAGACCACTGCCCGGACCTTTCTTCTTCCTGATCCAGCCTTCCTGGTGAACACCTCCTTGCCGGTCGCCACTTCCACCTCTGCGTGCTTCATGAGTTCCTCCGCTTCTGCCGCTGACAACGGCTTTATCGCCTGTGTCTCGGCGGTGAGCGACACATACTCCTCCGCAATGGCTTCCTTCCACAACTCCAATTCACCTCGGATCGTGTCCAGCGGAATCGTCTTTGTCTGCAGGAACTCCTCCTCCTCTAATCTTTGGACCGCCTTCACTACTCTCCTTTCTTCTCCATCAAGGCTCCTCAGGGTCTCTTCCAACCTTCCAATGTCCTTTGCGATCTTCTTGGTCCACTCCAGCTGCCACTGCTCCACTCCTTCTCCACTCAACAACTCCTTTTCTTCCCACCACACTTTCTTCAAGTTCGCATGCCAGTGGACCAGCTCTTCCTCCCATTCTTTCGCACCTTCTTGCTCTCGTCTCTCCCGGCTCAGGGGTGTGAGCCACCTCACCCCTGCATTAGGCGCTCGAGAGAGATCTGTCGCGACCACCCCAATGATCATCTCCGCCTCCACCACTTCTTTCTGCTCCTCCATTGCCTTTGCAATTCTGGCCTCCCGGGCAAGTGCTGCCGCTGCCTCCGCTGCCGCTTCGGCCCCCACAACACCCACAACCTCCCCCCCGGCCGCCCAGGCCGGCGCTGGTTGCTTCCCCCTCAAGCGCCTCCTCACCTGCCGCTCCTCTTCCGCGACCTGCTCCGACACCGTGACCACTACCGCCGCCGCTCGCACGAAGCAGCCATCCTCGCACTCCACGTAGTAGCCCTGCGCCATATCCTTGGACGGTCCCCACACCTGCACCGGCTCAAACTTTTGGGGCCAATCCCTATCCTTTCTCCACCTCTTGACCTTCACCATTGCTCGGCTGCCAAACGGCACCAGCGGAAGCTGCGGAACTCCTAGAGCCCGCATTTGACTCCTCCACCGCAGCTCAGCTGCGTGCCTCAAAGCCAGAGGCCACTTCTCCTTTGGCGCCCCGCTCGCCTCCAGCAGCACCTTGGTCCTTCCCTTGATGACCCCGACCTCGTTCTCGCAACGGCCATTTGCTTGGGGTTCATCACCTGCCGTCACCGTGCGCCACAGTCCCCTTTCCGCTGCCCAAGCCCGGAAGGCCGCACATGTGAACTCCCTGGCCCGGTCCGTGTGCACCCTCAGAACTTGCAACCCAGCCGCTCTGTACCTGCTGTAGCACCCCGCGACTGCTTGAAGAACTACATCCCGATTCCGTGACCGAATCGGAATTGCGAACGTCAGGTTGCGAACCGCGACGTCCTCCAGGTCTTTGATCTTCTCCCTCCACTTTCTCGTTTCCTCTTCCGCCTTTTCTACCTCAACTCGACCCTCCTCCCCCGGGGCTGAACCCCTCTCCTCCTGTTCCACAAAGAGATCCTCTTCCTCCACCGGTAGTTCTTCAGGTCCCCGAGGTAGCTCCTCCTCTTCTGGATGTAGGCCTAAACCCCCTGCTCCTGCTCCTTCTACTTCCTCCTCTTCTCCCAGCATGACCAGTGGTTCTCCAGACGACTTCTTCACCGGCACCGTGAGGACCGTGACCACCGCGTACTTTGCCTTCGCACCGTCTTGGTCCCCACCTTCTCGGGTCGGCCCCAGGATGTCCACCGACATCACAGAGGCATTCGGTGCCCGAATCCTCCGATGTGCGCCTGCCCGGCCCGCTGCCTCCATGCAAACCCTGCAATCTCGCCGATGAGGAACATGCTCGTTCTCCACGTGCATCCTCCACTGTTCATCCCTCGTGGGTCCTCTTGCTGCCTTCACTCGCACCTCCTCCAGCGTTTCCCGATTGACCCGCTGCAGGCTTGCCTTGATCGCCTCCTTCAGCTTTGGTGCCCATGCCGCCCACATCGCCGACTCCTTTATGCGATCCTCCACCGTCCCACTTCGGCCGGTCTGATCCCCAGGTCCCGCAACACCGTGAAGGGCTATGACCTCCACCTGGTTGGTGAGCAGCGTAGTCGGCTTTCTCCGCTCGTGTCCTAATGGCCCTTGATCCAGCTTCGCCACGAGCATCTGGTTCCTTGCCGCAAACTCCTCTGTCTCCGGCCAGGCCCAAAACGTAGCCCACCCGAGTTCCGGCTGCTTGGTGCCCTTTCCATTCTCCCCCGTTCCCAGCCACTCCTTTGGGTCCCTCGGGTTCTCCTGCACGAACGCCGGAGCCATCCAACCTTTCTCGCTCCTCGCCTCCCGAGCAACCTC